AAGATTCAGCAGGAAAGGAGTTTTCTTAGCAGCTTGAGAAGCAAGGTTTATCTCAGGAGGGGATCCCAGACCTCGCCTCTCAGCCTCAAATCCCACCTGCCCGCCTTTCACTGCAGGCTCACCTGTTTCCCCCTTGATCAGCAGAGACTCGTAAGGCCAGGAGGCGGAAAGCTTTCCAGATGTGAGAGGCGCCTCTTCCCACAAAGAAGATGAGCAAGATTGGACTTCGGGTGGATGGGGGGGGGGAAGCAGGAGGGGAAGCCCTCCCAGCCCCACATATGTACCTGGTTGGCTGTAGAGGGGGAAAGGCCAAGGAATGTGAGTGTGTGGGACAGAAAGCATGCCAAGCCCAGCGGTGGGCCTGCAGGCGCCCAGCCTGACCTTCTCGCTCACCTACTTAAGGTGGCCGGCTTGAACCCTGACCCATTTCCCCAGAAGGACTACGCCAGGCGGTGTGGGGCGGGGAGGTTCCCCATGCCAGCCTGAAAGTATAACTGAATCCTGTCTCCTACGTCTATAGCGCAGACTTTTCCAGACACAAGCACGAAACCAGTTTGGGCAATTCCAAGGTAAAAGTGGCACAACCAGTCAGGCCAAAGGAATTCCTGGCGAAAGGTTAAAACCATCCCTGTTAAAACCCTCAACCTAGCTTAAGAGAGGAGCAACCCCCTTACTAAAGAATTCTGGGAGTTGTAGTCCACCAAATTCAAATCAGCACTCTTCTAACTTGAATATCCCCAGAGGTCCGAGTCTCGCATTCCAACCACAACACCATGGAGTCTGTTGTGTTGGGAGTTTTTACAACCGCCCATGCTGCCTGTAGTTCGTTTCGCTGGGAGGGATCTTTCTGGGGAGACTGTCAATCTATCCAGCATTAACCAATCGTTTCCTCTCACCTCTGAATTTAAAGAGAAAGCAAATCCCCACACCTCCTCCAGACCCTCTTTTTCGAGCAGAAGGTGATCCTGCAACTCCGCAGAAGCCTTGAGGAACAGCCATTCGCTTTTCAAGCACGTCACACACTCCCCTCAGTCCTGATCGAGAGCAAGAGATTGGGGTGTTCAGAATGCAGCTTCCTTCCCAGTGGGTTCACCTTTCTCTTAACGCTGATCTGCAACAGGGGCGGCAGAAGACAACACACACCCCCTCAGGAAACAGAGGAGGCAGATGCTCTCCCCCCCCCCGCCAAGAACCTTTCCTGGCAAGATAGCTCTGCTCCTCAGAGACATATGCAGTAGGTTTTCCATTTCACTTAGCAATCAAGCCTTATCCGTCCAGAGATTAAGCAACCCAAGGGGAAATATTTATTTTGTGGCACCAAAAATCTCCCACTCTGAAACCCTGATGCGACCGACATTGAGCTGGAAGGCCCGGTCTGGCTCTTCTTGCCTGGCTAGAGGCAAAGACAAGTCTTGGCAACGTCGTTGCCTGGAAGAAAGGAATCCTCCTTTCTAATCCATCTTGCCCTTTGCACCATCTAGTTTCTTGGCTTGTCTCCTCTTTTGTTAAAAAATAAGGTTGCATCTGGAAACATCTTCCAGAAGGGTAACCCAATAAAATCTTTTGTCGCAGTTTTACACTATGGAAAGAGAGCAGCGAAAAATCCCTTGAGTGGCATCGAGATAGTCCTTGGTGGGTTTGCAGGCCTTTGAATAACACTTAAACTTACCAAGGCTCTTACAGAGCAACAGCAGAATGTAAACGGGCATGACAGCACCCTTCTGTTCATTTTCAGAGATGCTGAGCACCTTCAAGACTTGCACATTTATGATGGCATCGGCTTTATGGACAATAGTCATCTGTATCAGCTGCCTGAAGAGCGAGACGTAATTTCAGGTGTCTTCGCAGTAAGCATGGAAAACTGGAAACTTTTAGTGCAAGCCGCCTTTTCCTCAACTGTACAGACTGTATCTATAGCATCTCTTGCATATGATGAAGTGGGCTAAAAAAAAAAAAAGGCTCATGCCATCATCAATGTGTTGGTCTCTTGAAAGACCAATGTTTCCATTGGCTTCTTTCCCCTTCTTGTGCACATCTTGGCACTGGGAGCAAACGAACAGAGGGGCAGACATCCTAACAGGTGAGTCCAGAAATATGGACAAACACTGTCAGCCAGTTAACATTTCTGATGCTCTAGAAATGTGAACTGGCTCTAGAAAGGGAGTGCGGAACGGGCCAAGAAATCCAGGGCGAGCTGTCTGCTGGGAGTTCACAAGACCCAAGGTTACCCAGGCTGCCAGGCAAAACCCTGCAGTCTAACACAAGACGCGTTGGTGTTTGCAAATTGGCCACTTTCCTGTGTTTGCACACCCAACAGATCAACACCCAACACACTCAGCAAAGAGTCGCGTGGAACCTTGAGGACTACGTAATAATTTAAATTTGGCTCTAAGCTCACATCACAAGCAACACGTTGCCTCCAGGCAGCTCCTTGCCTTCTCCCTCAAGGAAGGGGGTTCAAGAGCTTTCTGGGTGGAAATATGAGGGAGGATGGCCAGCTGTCAGAGAAGAGGGCACCACAGACCAACTGCCCCTCTCTTTGCCTGCTGTTTGAAGGCACCAAGACTAAATTTAAGCCAGCCTAATTTATTTAATTTGTTCCGAAGAAACAAATACGTTTCGGCCCATTTCTTTGAATGCAACCTCACCTCACCGACTGTCTTCGGCATCAGAGAGGGTCGACTGTGAGACCTGAAACAAAGAGGCAGGAAAGGACCCCGGACATCTCCGGAAGACTCGAAAGCAACTAAGCCCAAACAGGATTCCAGGTCAATGGCTGACTCTCTGAACAGCTTCAACCATTTAAGGTGGGGACCACAAAAAAAATATTGATATCCCCCTTAGGTGTCAACTTGACTAAGAAAAAAGAAGCAGCACAGAGGACTGGGCAAATGAAGGACTGAACTAAATCTCACACAATAGAGAAAAGGACCGGAACCCTTAAAACTTTACAGCTATCGCTCAAATGTCAGGCGGGCAAGAGGAGGATCCTGAAAACCACAGTGGACGGGTGGAATCTGGGATGTTCTAGCATCTAGGAATCTGTGGAACGAGAAGGAACACTTCGAGGGGATAGCCTGGCTGGCTGACATCTGCCTGGATGAGCTTCCAACAAGTGTTGATACAGAAACATTATACAGAGTCCTAAACCTTTTGCCCCCAAATCGAGGTGTACTTGAGAGCATTGTTCATATGTTACCTGAAGAATACTCCAAATATTAGATCATCTTCTAAACAGTCGCCCCAGATCTGCCTGCAGAGCATTTGAAAGAAAAACAGCCACCAAGAAATCTCAGCCTGTATCCCAAGAATGGAACGGGGGAGCCATTACAGGCCAGTCAACAAATGCTGCTGGACCATAGTTCACACCTGATGAGTTTGCTGACCTCACCTACCACCTCTGAGAATCACTGACTCTCCCATGTGGCTATACGGAAAGGAAGAAAGAGAATGTTCTCTTCTAGCTTCCAAAGACTCCTGTGCCTAATCACCTGGAGGTGATTTCTGAATCATCACAGGTGAGCTAGGGGCCGAGTATTCAAAACCTAACTCAGTACTGTACTTACTTATCACTTTATAATTTCCTAAACATTTCACACTTTTCTACCCAGTTTAGTCCAGAACCATCACAAAACGGAGGATGCCCACTTCAGGCCGAGCTGGGCTAAGAGAAAACTCAGCCAGCTTCCCGCACGAGACCTTCCCAATCTCTACAATGACCTGTTACTCTGGCATGACAAATATTGGGGCCCCCTTAGCTGGCATTTCCACAAACAGAAGGTCTCAGAAAGCCAGCAGAAAAATATTGGGAAGCCAGGGATCCTGCTGACAGCCAACGAAAGACAAAAACAAAGGCTTCCTTAAGGACCAGGTGTCAATGGCAACACTCCCCCAGTTCCTCCAGAACTCAGAACAGGAGGCAGGCCGTTAAAGAATCCCATAAAGATTAAACTCAATTAGACACCATTTCAAGCGATACAGAAGTGAGAGACAAGGTGGTGTCGTGGATGAAGTCTCAGATTAGGACCCAAGAGACCTGAGTTCAAATCTTTCCTAGTCTAGGAAAACTCACAGGGGTGCGAGGCAACGGAAAACGAGGCCTTGAACATCTATCTCAGGAAGCTCGAAAGCCCGACCAGGGTCACTGTGGGTCCAATGGGATTTGGCAGCACAGAGAGGACTAGAAGCAACCCCTGCTGCTGCCCCTGCGGTCTATCTCCCCTCCCAGCAGTAACCACTAGGCTCCCCAGAGCGCACCTGCCTTTCTCTCCTGGTTGTGTTGGGAAGACCCACAGAGATGGCCGGCGGGTGCTGGGCAGAGGGGTGTGTGTGTTACTCACAGGATACAGCCCTGCCCTTCAATCCACCAGAGAGGGCAACCCCGAACCCTGCTTAGTCCACAGCCAAGACCCCCTGAACCCCGTGACACTTGCTTCTGAGTAGACCGTGGTGAGAAAGGCCTGCAGCCCCTGGCTAGCCTCAACGGGAACAGAGTCACAGAAGCCCTGGCAAGGCAGGCCTCGCTCCCCGGGAGTCCCACAGATCCAACCGGTCTCCTCTAGTGGGACTTACCAGGCCTCGCTTTGTCCCTTGGCAGGGCTGCCCAGCGAGTGGCGTTCCGGGATGGGATGGCAACCCGGGTGGCCCCGAAGGTCTGGCTCTGAGTAGACGCTCCCCCCCCCCAAAAAAAAGAGCAAAGAGGGACCTCTTCTGAAGCCGGTCTCTGATGTCCCGGGAAGCCCCCGATTCGGGGCTCTCAAGCAGGGCGCCGCGACCGGGGCTTCGGGGCCCTCGGGGTACCGAACCCCCGAGTGGAAAGGGGGGAGGTCGCCACCCCCGCGGGTCCTGCTCGCCTTTCCTCTGCGGAGAGCGCGAACTCTCCCTTCCTTGGGAGGAGACCACACACACACACACACACACCTTCTCTTGCCCGGGGTGGCGTCCCGGGGCTGGGCTCTCCCCCCACCCCCAGCCCGTGCCGCCCAAGGCTACTCACTCACCGAAGTACTCCTTCTGCCGGTGCCTCTCCAGCTCCTTCTCCAGCTCCAGGGTGAGGGCCTCCAGCCGCCGCTCCACCTGGCTGGGCCCGCTCTCCCGCGCCGGCGTCACCTGGAAG